TTATGGATGGGCGCTTTTTATTTAACTTCTTTTGGACTAAAGCACTGAAACACCCGCTGACTGCAATGATAGAGCTTGGAATAGCCAGGACAATTTTTAATATAACTCCGACTGGATTCATCTGAAAGAAGAAAGTCATATACACCTAGGATGCCTCTGGGGTGAGTAAAACACAGCCTAATTTTCATTTTTGGGTGAACTAACCCTTTAAGTCTAACGCACCTTTTGTGTGGGGTGTTCGGTGAGTTCCGTCACGATATATACGTCATTCAAGCTGGCCAATCATGTTGTGAACGTATCACTATGCCTTAAGGTTCAGTGTCCTTAGGTTCGCTGTCAAAAATGCCAATGTGAATGTTAAGCGTACCAGGACCAAATGTATCATTTTCCTTTTTGGTCCGGACCAAATGAACCAAACGAACCAAACTACAAGTGTGAACACACCCTAAAAAGGCTGACTGTAGTGCTGGAAGTTCCTCACAGTCAGTGACAGTGTTAATATCTAGCTCTTCTACACAATTCAACAGGGCTAGTGAACTGATCAACAGTCTGTCTACAAACAGTGATTTGAGACATTTTAAATGAGTAATAATTATTACAATAATTAATATAGTACAATATTTGCATTGATTCATGTATACAAGATGTATAGGCATACAGTTTTTATAAAAATAAAGATGTCTATTAACATGTCTTATAATAAAGATATTATTATATTGAGATGTAGACCATTTATATTCAGATTTGCAGTTCTATATTTAGGGTTTATAAATATATTACATTTATATAAATTATATAATATATAAATTTACATTTACAGAATATATTGAGAATTATAACTATATATTCGAGATTTACAATTATACAGTCAGAATTATAACTATACGTTCATTATTTGCATTTATATATTCAGAATTATAAATACATATTCTTTACATTTGATATTTTCAGATTTGTAACTATATATTCACAATTTACATTCTTATATTAAGATTTAGCGATATATTCAGACTTACAATTATATATTCATATATAACTTTGAAAAACAGTTTGTGATTTTATGGCTATATTAAATGATCATTTTGATTCCTTGGATATATATATATATATCTCACAATATAGTTATATGCCATGACATTCAACAACAACAAAAAATTGTTTGTTAATATTTATTATTAGTAGTATTTTTAAATATTAAACAGCCATGTGGTAATACATATTTTTGAATAACACCGCAAATTTGGTTTAAGTTTTGAAAGTTAATCATTTTCACCAAGAAATAAGATTGGGACATTTTTGAGTTAAAACCAAAAGACTAGTAAGACTAATATTATAAAATAGATACTTCATAAGTTTAACGCTACATTCATAATACATCCATTGTAAAATAGCCAGTATATACACAACTGCACATATGTTTAACAATGTTTTTTAATATTAAATGTTATACCTCCCAGTCCTACTGTGTGCGTCTGATATGAAGTGAGTAAAATTGACTCTATACTACTACTAGAAATGTGTAAGACAAACTCTCACACTCTTTCATGTCTCTCTTTCTTTCTCTTTTCAGCTGTCTGTTTGCAGTCTCACTGACAGACAGACACAACATATTGCTGCAACCCAACCCCCTCAGTTTCCTCTCCATCACCAGCCAATCAAATGCACTCTGAAAATAAACTATCCAATCATGGCAAGCAAGTGACAAGCGGGGAAAAAGGCTGACTGTAGTGCTGGAAGTTCCTCACAGTCAGTGACAGTGTTAATATCTAGCTCTTCTACACAATTCAACAGGGCTAGTGAACTGATCAACAGTCTGTCTACAAACAGTGATTTGAGACATTTTAAATGAGTAATAATTATTACAATAATTAATATAGTACAATATTTGCATTGATTCATGTATACAAGATGTATAGGCATACAGTTTTTATAAAAATAAAGATGTCTATTAACATGTCTTATAATAAAGATATTATTATATTGAGATGTAGACCATTTATATTCAGATTTGCAGTTCTATATTTAGGGTTTATAAATATATTACATTTATATAAATTATATAATATATAAATTTACATTTACAGAATATATTGAGAATTATAACTATATATTCGAGATTTACAATTATACAGTCAGAATTATAACTATACGTTCATTATTTGCATTTATATATTCAGAATTATAAATACATATTCTTTACATTTGATATTTTCAGATTTGTAACTATATATTCACAATTTACATTCTTATATTAAGATTTAGCGATATATTCAGACTTACAATTATATATTCATATATAACTTTGAAAAACAGTTTGTGATTTTATGGCTATATTAAATGATCATTTTGATTCCTTGGATATATATATATATATCTCACAATATAGTTATATGCCATGACATTCAACAACAACAAAAAATTGTTTGTTAATATTTATTATTAGTAGTATTTTTAAATATTAAACAGCCATGTGGTAATACATATTTTTGAATAACACCGCAAATTTGGTTTAAGTTTTGAAAGTTAATCATTTTCACCAAGAAATAAGATTGGGACATTTTTTAGTTAAAACCAAAAGACTAGTAAGACTAATATTATAAAATAGATACTTCATAAGTTTAACACTACATTCATAATACATCCATTGTAAAATAGCCAGTATATACACAACTGCACATATGTTTAACAATGTTTTTTAATATTAAATGTTATACCTCCCAGTCCTACTGTGTGCGTCTGATATGAAGTGAGTAAAATTGACTCTATACTACTACTAGAAATGTGTAAGACAAACTCTCACACTCTTTCATGTCTCTCTTTCTTTCTCTTTTCAGCTGTCTGTTTGCAGTCTCACTGACAGACAGACACAACATATTGCTGCAACCCAACCCCCTCAGTTTCCTCTCCATCACCAGCCAATCAAATGCACTCTGAAAATAAACTATCCAATCATGGCAAGCAAGTGACAAGCGGGGCCCAATCACAGCTCCCCAATGTAAACCAAGCACAGCAGCAAGGACCTGCTGGCAACCAAGGGTCAAAGGGCAGTGGGTCTGGGAACCATGGAGTCAAATCCAACCAGATTTCTCCTGGCAACCCTGGACTGAAGAGCCTCAACCAAACAGGCGGTGGAGTTGGTGGGATAATGAAGAACAAGGCAAAGAGGGAAAGGAGCGTCTCCATGGACACGGGAGACCAAAGAGAGTCACTCACCCCTGTTTTGGAGCCAGATGCCAAAGGTAGGCGTAATGCTGCTCTCATCCTTAGACCGACTGTCCACGGGCCGCCCACAGTCCGTAGACTGACTATCTGATGCTTAAAACATAAGATAGCATGAGCTTTCTCAAAACATCAGATCCGATCTGTCTGACTAGCTTTACAGATTACACATATTAGTAATGTATTCTGACTACTTGATTACTTAATACTTTTAGATTACTTTTGACCTAAAATGTTTCCATTCATTGTTATCAACATTTCCCAAACTGGGAAAGACCTGCGGGGGTTCGTGAGGTGATGAAAAGCTAATAATTAATTCAATCATAAAAATATCAAATTAAACTAATTGTGTGGCCTCACCATTTTCTGAGTAATTACAGCTGACTAGTGGCTGGTGTGTGCAGTTCCATAAAACTAGAAGACTTTCTGAATTTAAATAAGCGGTAGGATTTTTTTTTTTTTAGGAAGGAAGATTTAAGAGAGAAAATAGAAGTATTAGAGCAAATCAATACCTTATCAATAATTTACTGCCATTGTGTAAATAATATGTGAACATGTAGTGTATAAAAAGTGACTGATCTGATTATGAGCATTTTAAAATATAATCAGTTACAATATTGCAATTGTTTTTTGTTAAGTACAGTACTGGTCAAAGGTTTGGTCCAAAGCTGCATTTACTTGATCAAAAATACAGTGAAAACTGTAATATTGTGAAATATGATCACAATTTAAAATAACTTTTTTCTATTTTAAGACATTTTAAAATGTAAAGTAATGCTGTGATGACAAAGCTGATCTTCAGCGTCACATGATCCTTCTGAAGTTGTTATAATATTTATACTATTTGCTGCTCAATTACTCATGCTCAATGATTTATAATGGTTCTTTTTATTATCAATGTTAAAAACAGTTTTTGCGGAGTACATTTTTTGTGGAAACTTTTGTAACATTATACATTTATTTTGTTTTTATTTATTTTGTTTTATTTTATTGTGACTATTTAATGCGTTCTAAAATAAATAATATTATTAATTGAATAAAAGAAGAAGAAAAAAATCTTACCCCACATTTTTAATCCTAGCGTGTCATGGTTTCCACAGACATATTAGGCAGCACAACACAGATAATAAACAGGGCAAATTAACGCGAGAGCGCAATTCCAAAACAGCGCCAATGGGCGTGGACATTTCTGCGGGTGATTTACTGACAATGCACAAATTAAAGAACACAGACGCAACATCTCATTTCCATAATGACCAATGAAATCTACCAAGCGCCGTGCAAATTAGCGTAAGGATATGTTCAGATTCGGATAATGTGTTCTTTTGGCTTTCCAAATAAATTAATATGCGTGGAAAAAATCCTTTCCCTTCTACCACGCTCTCTTTTCTCTGCGGTGCCTCCTCCTAGCAACAACAAATGCAGTCATTTCAAGCGCAAAATAGTTTAAGGCACGCTTTTTTGGGGCGTTAAATAATGGCGCAAATACCAGTTATTTGACGAGCGCAAAAGTTAGTAAGTCGCGTTGCGTGATTCTTTTTAATACTCTACTCCCATAAATTTTGCGACTGAAAGGGAAACTCCTACAAATGCATATTCAATAAGGTCAGGCGCAAAAATAACTGTGTCCACGCCTTTTCAATGCCTTTTCTAATTCTTCACTGCACGTCTTTAGTAAATCCTGACAGTACAATTTTTAAGCTAAAAGATGGTTTGCGTTGGCACAAGCTATTAGTAAATCTGCCCTAAATGTTTCTTGAGTAGCATATTAGAATGATTTCTGAAGGATCATGTGACACTGAAGACTGAAAATTAAGCTTTGAATCACAGGAATAAATAGCTTTTTAAAATATTTTCAAATCGAAAACAGCTATTTTAAATTGTACTAGTATTTCACATTATTACTGTTTTTACTGTACTTTTGAATAAATAAATGCAGCCTTGGTGAGCAGAAGAGACTCCTTTTAAAAACATTAAACAATTGTTTAGGTAGTGTATTTTAAAGGTAGGGTAGGCGATTTCGGAGAGGCTAGCAATAGCATGCTAGCTTTGAACGCAAGATCCCGCCCTCCCTGTAAATCACTCTGCAAAGCCACGCCTCCTCCAAAACACATAAACGCGCCTAGGCAGACCAGAGACTAACCTGCGACACCTTGAGAGATGGCATTGGGTTGAATGCAGCGTTGTCAGATTACCTCATGTCTCATTCACCGGTGAGAAAACATTACAGTACACAGCGCATAATATAACAATAATAACGCTTTCCATTCTCGCTCGGTCTGCAATGGAACGCGCTGATGACAAATAATGTCTGCGCAAGCAGGGTTCGCGGAGGTATGCAAATACATATGTTGACTGGCAGGTAGGACAGCCTATCGTAGTCCTCGGACCAAGGAATTTGATTGGACAAACGTTTTATGGTCCTACGCCATCCACATTTAGACCACTTAACTGATTCCTGTGTTCCTATGTAGTGCACAACCAAACTCACTTTACTCATGTATCACTGTATCTCTCGATCAACAATCTAAAAAAGGCCACGCTTCTGGAATTCCCCTTTCAACTGGAAACACAGTGAAGATGAAACTGGCTGTTTTCAGCAAACCCAAAATGCCCTGACCTTTCTGAGCGTGTGTGTTTGTGTGTGTGTGTGTGCGTGCTTATATGTGTGTATCAGATGTTATGCTCCTGGAACAGCGCCAAATGTGCAAGTGCTTGTGTTTTCCTGTTGGTTGTCCTGTTGTGTGTCACTCACTAATTAAGCGGGGGTTGAGAGAGACTCCGCGCTCAGACAGGAAGTAGAATAGAGTGGGGTGGAGAGACTGAGGGGGAGGGAGACTCTATGCAACAAGTTCCTGAATGTCAACAGGTCCCTTACTGCACACACGCACACGCACACACACACGCACACACACACACACACAAAGTTCCCTTATGTGGTTTAGTGATTCTGACAAAAACAAGTCCGTGTCATGTTTCACACCAACACCAAAGTAAAAAAATAACTATATAATTATTATATTTTGCAGGAAGAACTTTAAGACCACTGAGATTTTTTTTTATTATTATTTTCAAGACCGTTAAGTACAATTTTCCCCCAAATTCTCATTATTGTAATTGGTGTGGATGTTTTACTTTTTTTCCATTATTATTAATAGTGATCATTGCATTTTCATAAATTTTCATAAATTAATTTTTGCTATAGAGTGCATAAAAAGGCATTACAAAACGTAGGCCTACTACTATATTACACACACACATATTTTTTTCTTCTTTTTCCATGTATCCTATTAAAAGTAAAAACAAATGATTCACTTTTTTGTTAATAATATAAATTTGAAAATGATGTAAGTGAACAAACTTTTTATCAGTAGGTCTATGTTATTATATTTCATTGTTGCAAAAATAAAAATGCATAAAATGAATGCATACAATATAATTATTTAAATGGTTAAAAAAAATGGTTCTTACGATTAAATGTAATAA